CCTTGTGTCCAGTGCCAATTTCAAGCAAAGGTAAGAAGTTATTCCAAAAAACTTGATGTTTCTGTTAGTTTTATCTCTTTCTTGTATGTAAGTGAAGTGAAGTTTTACTGGGGTTTCAAATCCCTTTCAAATTTGTTGTTGGTTGGTTAGTGCTTTCAGTTCCTCCTTTCTTTATCGATTATTTCAAGCTGATACATGTGTGTAACCGAAGTGTAGTTGTCATAGGGTTTCGAATTTGTTGTTTATTGGAGTTAGGGTTTTCAAAATTATTCTTGGTTAGTTAGAATTTTCACTTCTCCCTTTCTTTGTCGATAATTTCAAGCTGGTAGGTATGTGTTTTGCGTTTGTATTCACTTGCATGTGATTTTTCATTATTAAACTGTAATTTTGTTCTTTTTATTTGCATGTGCCTCATATCTGGTTTATGCTTTCTTGGTATTGAAAAGTCCTTTGGTGGTTTAGGGTTTCAATTTCAATATTTTGTAGTCCCAACTTTCTTTGATTTTTTTTGGTAGAAAATAAGTGAATCGAATTTTTTATATTGGCTTTCATTTGTTCTTTTCTGCGTTGTTTATTGGAGGGTGGGGCAGGGGACACTTTATTTTTTACTATAATACTTTAATGTATGGTCCCCCATATCCATGGCTGCATCTATTAGTTTATTGAAGTTGACTTACTTCTTCAATGTGTGGTGCCTTCTATTTTATTCTGCCTTTATGCCTTTATGCCTTTATCTCTATACCTTCTATTATTCTATTTTGCTCTGCCTTCCATTAGTTTTTGTTTGTTTATGTTGTCTGATTTTAGTGTGTATTTTATATTATTTCTATATTTTTTTACCTTAAGTGATTTTAGTGTGTCTTAAATATGTATATTCTTTATTCTGCAGTTTACTGACAAATGGACCTGCTGGATTGTCTTTCATAATGGTGGAGAGTGGGTCAAGAAACCACTCGTGGCATACTCAAGAAAAATTGTGCACACCAAGCAAGGTTTTGACTCTGACTTGCTTTCCTATAATGATTTAGTAGATGAATATATTTCTAACTTGGGGTATATAGGAGTCCAACAACTGATAGTTAATGGTCCTTCTGGTACATACTATGAAATAGAAGGTGATTATGGCATTAAGACTTTATTGGACTTTGTTAACAACCAGTTTAATGTTATTAACATATTTCCTGTAGAGGAATGTGCGCCAAGTATTAATGTACCTAATATAATCCATCACAATGAGCATGATGAACCTCATGAACTTGAAGCTAACACTGATTGTGATGAAAGTGATAATTGTGATGGAAATGAATATGTTGTTTCTTCAAACTATCATTCTGATAGACTAGAGAAACTTTTTACACAAAAGAAGGGACATTAATGATAAATTGACTGACTATAAAGAGTTGGATAGGTCCATGACATTCAAAGATATTGATGAAGCTAGGAAAGTGATAAATATGTATGCACTTGCAAATGGTTATGGGTTAGAGCAACTTAAAAGTGACCCAACTAGGCTTAGGTACATTTGTGAAGTTGGTTGCCCTTTTGTATGTCACATATCTAGGAATTCTTCTGGGGGTGGGGCTGAATTCAGGACCTTAAATTCATAGCACACTTGTGAACCTGCATATGAGAATCATAGAGTTAATGCCAAGACCATTGCTGCATACTTCAAGAGAGGGTTGCAAGATGATCCAAAAATTAAGATTAGAGAGATGAGGGAAAGCTTTAAGGTTGCATTTAATGTAAATATTAGTGAGGCAAAGTGTAAGAGGGAAAAGGGATTGATTTTGGAGAGTCTTGAAGGGAGTTATATTGATGAATATAATAAGTTAGTGGCATATGTTAATGAATTAAAGTTTAGTAATCCTGGAAGTGATGTGATAGTTCACTTATCAAAGGATGCTCTTGCTGAAGGAAAGAGAAGGTCCCTAAGGATGTACATATATTTTCATATTCCTAAGGATGTACATATATTTTCATGCAATGAATATGGGGTTTAAGAGTGGGTTGATGCCCTTTATAGGGTTGGATGGAACCTTTTTGAAAGAGAAAGTTAAGGGTCACCTTTTGGTGCCAGTTGGTCAAGACTCTGCAAATCATTTTTATCCATTAGCTTGGGCTATTGTGGATAAAGAAACAAAAGTCACATGGAATTGGTTTTTAAGTTATCTACAAATGTCACTGGACCTTAAGATGGGTGAAGGAATCACTTTTATCTCGGATATGCTGAAGGTAGGAACACTTTACTTCATTATTTTATTATTTTACCAATCTGTATATATAGATTTTAATTCTTCTTTCCTTTATATACAGGGGCTGATTGATTCAATCTCAGGAGTTCTTCCTGAGGCCCATCACAAATTCTGTGTAAGACACATAAAAGTAAACTGGTGCAAGAGATGGGGGTCTGGGGAATACAAGAAATATCTTTGGTGGGCAGGTGGATGATAATGGTAAGACTGTTGTTGAAGATCTGTTAAAGTATCCACCTACTTGCTGGAGTAGGGCATTCTTTGATACTACCTGCAAGAACCGGTCAGTGGATAATAACTTGATTGAGTCCTATAATGCATGGATATTGAAAGCCAGACAAAAGCCAATTATAAAGATGTTAGAGGAGATCAGAATCAAGGTTATGAATATGTTGACTGATAATGAAGCTGAAGTGGTGGGGTAAGGAAGTAAATACAGTCCCCAAGACTCTAAATTTGTATAACCAATTCATGAGGATTGCACAAAAGTGTCATGTGAATGGTAGTGCTGACCAAGGTTATAAAGTGACAGAAGGTAATGATAGGCACATTATGAATCTGGAGGCAAAAAAATGCACTTGTAGGACATGGGACCTTTGTGGAATCCCATGTACTCATGCAATCTGTGCCCTATTGTACAAGAAGGTTGACACTTTAAGTGAGATTCACTGGTAACTTTCCAAAGAGGCATATCTCCAAACTTATTCTCATAAGTTACAACTTGTGAGAGGAGAAAAGTTCCGAAAGATAGACCCCTCGCAGAGTATGAAACGACCTGAGTTTGTAAGAATGGTTGGCGGACTAAAAGTAAAAAAGACAAGAGAGACAAATGAGTCCCTTAATAGGCAAGGGCAATGGTCTCAATCCAGGAAAGGGAGAGTAATGACATGTATTAACTGTGGAGAACCTGGACATAATGCTAGGGGATGTGCCAAGGTAATCTATCTCTTGAACAATAAATTTATGCTTCTATTTTATTCTGCCTTGTTCTAACATATAATTATGTATGTTGATAATAACACTCTAAAGGAAAACAACTAATAGGTGGCAAAACAAGAGGAAAGCAAAAAAAAAAATAAAGAACTTTGGTTGATGAACCTGATGATGAACAACATATATCCCCAGCTGCTGCAGATATCCCAAATGAAGATGACTTCCATTTATCAGCACCCCAGCCAAGTCAAAACGGTCAAGCTAGTGAATCCAACAACTTTATGTTTATGCCAACTCCTGCAGTCCAAAGGCAACTTCCAACTAGCAATGAATGTCCAGATTTTGAGATCCCTAACTTTGAACCTGAGCCTGACATAGCTATAAGACCAAAGAGTATCTTAGAAGCAAGGACAATACTCCAGCTGAGGCAGCAAAGTGTACCAGCTGCAACCAGGCAAATTGGATTTGTTGGTGATTCAAGCGGTGTAAGTCAGCCATCGAAGCTTACTTTCTCAGCAAAAGGCATAACATGGCTAGGAAATTCTGCCATCACTAAAAATCAGTTGAACAAATAAAGGTTGACCAAGTTGCAAGCAAGAAAGGGTAGTGGTAAGGAGCAGAAGTGATGAAAATTTGCTTCTAGTAAACTTTTATAATGTAAATATTTGGAAGTGTTGTAATTACTACCATGACAGTAAACTTTATATTTTGGTTGTGGTTCTTTGGTTATGACAGTTGGTTGCCATGTTATAACTAGGTGTTGACATCATTTTGGGGTTATAATATGGTATCCAGTTGTCTTATTAAACGCACCTTATGAATGTTGATAGTTGGTACATTATGAATCAAGGTGAATATTTGTTGATGAATGTTCAGTTCATTGTTGTCCATTTTGTTTCCTTTTCAATTTCAATTTTCCAGTTATCCAGTTATCCATTTTTACGACTGGAATGTAAGTTTTTTATTTTTACACTTGTTGCTGTCTTTTATGTCAAATGAATTGGATTGAAAGGAATTAAATGACTTAGTTATTAAACATGCCATTTAGAACAATCAAATATGCAGAACATATACTAGTAAGGGAAAGTAACAAATACTACTACACGAACATTATCATACACTAAGGCAAAAAACTGACCAACAAAACTACTACACCAACATCATCAATCTGCAGAACATGGCTGGAAAATAACAAATGCTATTATAGCAACAAATACTACTACAGCATGGCTTAATTGACCTAAAAGTCAGCTACACATATGTAACTCAAATTCAGCAACTTTGTCTTTGCAAAAAAGTTACTTCATCATCGAGGCTACAAAAAAAATAAGAAACAGTCCCCAAGAAGTCATAAGCAGCATTCTTGTCTTTGAAAGTTTATCTTCCAACTTAATAACTTTATTCACTTCATATTGGTGTATAGCCTTTATGGCAATTACTTCTTCCTTTAATCTATCCCTTTCCATTTTAACCTCTTCATCGACGATGTTACATCTTTAATATTAGTCCATTCACATTGCGAGAAGATTTCATCTTTTCATTCCCAAAACCCACATGAACTAGGTTGTCAAACATAATTCAAAAAGATCATTTAGCTAATCATTACAAAACTCTAAACTTGTAGATTTCATAATTACAGTAAACTTAAAAAACAAACTGAAATTAAACAACCTTAGGCCTTGGACATTTGTAGAATTTTCTTCCGGGGTTATATGGAGTAGACGAAGTGAAGTGGTTGGCTATAATACTAATGTGATACCTAATCTGTGATGAACAGCTACCTTGCGACATTTATCAACCAACGATACATCGAGAATGAAGAAAAGAGATATTTTGGAAAGATTTCAGTCACACCCTAAGTTCTCAGCAATGGAGTGTCTTTTGGGGGAGAAGAAGAAGACGTTGGGTTACAGGTCAAAATTTTGGGAGTAAAATTGGGTCAATCTAATTTGGGAGTCGAATTGGGGCTTTCAACTTAATGGAAAGCTAACTTGGCAATTGACGTGGATGAAATAGAGTAGGTCAGCTGCCACATTGACCATCCGTTAGGGTTAGGAGCAATTACAACAACTTTGTTAACGGTAGAGTGGGTTTTGAACGTAAATTAAAACGAAGGACAAACGTGATAATGGCCTTTTTCCCTTGATTTTATCGTCAAGAAGACCAGTCGTCAGGGGCTGTATGTTTAGCTTCTAGATCTATTTTTATTTTCCATCCTCTGTTTTTCTCTTGTTTCCCCTCCCCTTCTTTCGTGTTTTTTTTGTTTTTTCTCCATATCCCCCTTTTTGTTGTGTCTTTAATTGTGTGAGTGAGTGGAAGATATATAGGGATTAATTGGTGGCCAAGAAAATAAGAGTGTGCATGTGCAAGTAGTTTTTGAGCTAGAGCATATGAATTTGTTACAAAAGATATGGAAGAATCTTGCTAGGTGAAATTTTAACATTGGTTCTCCCCCCTCCCCCCTTTTTTATATATTTATTAAAGATAAACAAAATTAAAGATAGTGCACTAAAACTAAAAATTAGAAAATATAAGAAACTATTAAGGAAAAAGTTATAAAATTGCTAGTCTTACCAAAATTAGAAGAAAAATATTGTGAATCTTTTGAGAGTTTTAATTTTCTAAGAAAAATCTATAATAGGTAAAACAAATAGCTAAAATATATAGATTAAACTCAAAGAATATTTACATACTAAAAAGTGGTGAAAATCTGATTATGGTCAAAAATTAGGTGCTTACAGTAGGTGATGAAAATATCAGTCAAGAAACATCGCAGTCAAGTAAATCTAAAAGGTTGACTGATAAGATAGACGGTGTCACAGAATCGACTAATGAGCCTGTCAATAGTCAACCAGAATCACAGAAGGAGTCAACTACTCATACAATTGCAACAAGTCCAAATGAGTTGAGAAGTGAATCGGAATATGCTTAGAAGTTTATCATAGGAGATCTAAGTGAAGGAATAAAAATCAGGGGAGCTCTTAAGGAAAAGAAAAATGTAGAACTCATATCTCATATTGAACCAAAGAAGGTTGAGGAAGCCTTAAAAGACTCCAGCTGGGTACAAGCAATGCAGGAAGAACTCGATCAATTTGATAAAAATCAAGTCTGAGAACTGCTACCTAAGCCTGCAAATGCTACTGTAGTTGGAAAAAAATGGGTTTTCAGAAATAAGCTTAATGAAGATGGAAAGGTTGTGAGAAACAAAGCCAAATTAGTAGCCCAAGGCTACTCACAGCAAGAAGGAGTCGACTACGATGAAACCTTTGCACCAGTAACTCGACTAGAGTCTATACGGATTCTTCTTGCATATGCATCCTTCAAACGATTTAGACTTTTCCATATGGATGTCAAAAGTACTTTTTTAAATGGATTTATTGATGAGGAGGTAAATGTATCAGGTTTCAGTCAGCTCCTAAGGAATCGCATCTGACTCCAGCAAAGAGAATAATTTGTTATCTCATCAGAACTATTTCTTATGGACTATGGTACCCACGTTCTAACAATTTTAAGCTGGAAGGTTTTTCAGATGCTGATCTTGCAGGTGATAAGGAATACAGAAAAAGCACCAGCGGAACATTTCAATTACTGGGAAAGGCATTAATATCATGGAATGGTAAGAAACAAGGCTTAGTTGCATTATCCACAACAAAGGCAGAATATATTGCCATTGGGCAATGTTGTGCACAACTACTATGGATGTCTCATCAACTAGGTGACTATGAACTATTTTTTAAAACTATTAAAATATTTTGTGATAACTCTAGTGCTATATGTCTCTCAAAGAATCATGTGCATCATTTTAGGGCTAAGCATATAGACATTAAATATCATTTCATTAGAGATTATGTTCTTAAACGAGATATAGAATTATCATTTGTTGGCACCACTGATCAATTAGCAGACATTTTTACTAAGCCTTTACTTGAAGATAGATTTTGCTCCCTAAGAGAACTACTTGGCATTAGTTCGCTTGATCATAAAAATTAGAACATGTGTGTTAGTTTTAATTCTTGCGTGTCTAATGTTTTTAGTTTGTTTTTATCTGTAAATATACATTAATTAAGCGCCTCCGATTTTTCTCTCTTTTCCCATCAGTCGCAACTTTCAAGAAAGAAAAATCAACCATCATGACCCTTCACTAACACCCTTTCCTTTCCTGAACTCAACCGTCAAAATCCTTTTTTTAATCATCTGAATCATTCTCCCATGTTTTCATTGTTCCTATCGCTCAGAAACCCTTCTCCAAAATCCTTCAAACTCTTCTTTAAAATTCTTCAATGGCTAAACACTCTAAGAATTCGTCTGCCTCCACTAGAAAAAATACTCGTTCCAAGGGGAAATCCTCTTCTCAGCCTCCAGAACAAGTAGACCTAGGGTCTGACCACTCAGAAGGGTTTGCCTCTTCTTAGGCAGAACCATCTGACCACTATCACCGAATAGGAGAAAAAGCTCTTGGAAAAAGGTTTATGGAAGACCCCCTTGAATCATTTCCCCCCAAGAAATCCAAAGTAGACCTCTCGAGTTCTCTAGAGTCTGACCTCAATTTCTGGGATACACTAAATAGGGATTTATTTGTTGCTATGAAAGATAAGCTCATTGATCACGGCAGAGTAATCGACCATGATGACATGGAGGCCCTCAATTCTAAGGTAAAAAATCTATATGTTTTTCAAGGATGGTCTAAATTCCTCTTTATTCCCTCTCCCAAAATCTATAAACCTTTAGTGAGAATGTTTTATGCCAATCTTCGCTCTAGCAAGCATGATAAGTTAGAATCTCTAGTTCTAGAAAAACGTGTTATCCTTGATTGTGCCATGTTTGACTCAATTTTTCAATGTAAGTGCTCCAGTTTTCCTACGCTTTTGAAGAATACTTAGCCTGATGACTTTGAAATTTTTTTTTTATCAAGTAAAACGTTGTATTGCTGAGTGTCCATCTGATTTCATTCCTAACCAGTTAAGTCCTAGTGATGTTAGTTTCGAAACTCAAGTTCTTGCCCACATTATTGCAACTACTCTTCTTCTTCGTACTGGATCATAAACTTAAGGTTAAACTATCCTTATGGGTCATAAACTTCATGATTGAGATTGTTGATGATCCCACCAGTCTACCTTATGGTATGGCTATCACCCACATTTTGGAAGCCCACAACATCTCTATCTCAAAATACCCCTTTGTCTTTATTTTAAAGTCCTACAACTCTAGAGCCTTTGCCAGTATGGGGTATGTGTGTACTAAGGGTTCCTGGGGGAAGAAACAAGAAGGTTAAGTCAAGAATGTTCAGCCTGATTCTAAGATCAAAGCCTTTGTTTGCCATCATAGTGTAGGTGATCCTGATCTTGTAGAAAAACTGACTGCAATTGACAACAAGTTAACAATCATCAACAACCTTTTTGTTGCAACTCAATCTACTATTGGGGACATCCATGCAATCTCCAAAGAGATTGGGTCCGATGTTTCAAAGATGAGGGTCAAAATTCTCAAACATGTAGAAAACGCATTCAAAGCCTTCAAGGAAGTACATAACAAGATTGATGGGGTGATAGTTTTAGCTAATGCCATCTTTGAGCATCTGAAGGAGGCGATTGGGAACACTCTTACTTATTTCTTGCATCGCTAGTTGTGGATGTTTCAAACAATCCCTTTTTACTATTTTGCTATTTTGGACTGGATAACCAGTCGCTAGATATATTTCTTTACTTTTAATAAACTTTGCATGCCTATAATTTGCAAATATTTGTCTCTGATGTGCCTGCTTCTACTTTATTTCAACTGTATATATGCATATCCCTTATTTGTTGATGTCAAAAAGGTGGAGAAAAAAAATCATACATTGTAGGACAAATAGCAGCACTTGTTGAGGGAGAGTCGACTGAAGCATATGAAGCACTTGTTGAGGGGGAGTCGACTGAAGTATATGCAGCACTTGTTGAGGGGGAGTCGACTACAACGAAGTAGGCCAACAAGGAAGTAAACTGTTGTTTATATATATTATTTTTATCATCATCAAAAAGGGGGAGATTGTTAAATATGAGTTTCAATGATGAAAAATAATATATCACATTTGGTGAAAGATCACAAGGTATAAAGCAAAGAAATCAAGAAGCCCTATCATTCAAGTATAGATTAAGGAAACAATCTATTAACGGGATCTCTAAAAGCAAAGCAAAGGAAAAGAATCAATGATTAGAGATGAAAAAGGAAGAAGTGGCGGAGACCCGGAAAAAGAATCAATCAATGATTTGATAGATGATTAACAGAAGCTATTATAGGAAGGTCACAAATCAAAGGGAAACAAGATCGCAAAGTGCTGCACTAGAGATCGTTGAAGCCAGAAATCAAGGGATCTATCGATGATCACTCAAATAACGGAAAAGATATGCCTAGTGGACAAAAAAACCTATCAAGACCACAAATTAAGGAAGATCAATGAAAACTTGACTTTATTCTTGAAAAGAATCAATTTATGATTCCTTTCAAGGATCAACTCCCTTGGGTTTGTAATATTTCAAGATTCACGTCAATCGAGGCCTCACGAAGTATATATATACATATGTTTCAGAATTGAAGGAGATATACTTTGAACGAAACATTATCACTCTCTTTGTTCTACTCCAAACAAGCATTGTACTTCTCCTTAGATCAGTTGTGTAATTAGTGGGAGAAGAAAGAGATAAACACTAGTGAGACATTGTATCAAGAAGAGAAAAGTGACATAAAAACTGAGTCATTGGTGTAAAGCTACATCAACCATCTTGTACTCGAGATACTTCGAATACTGAAAGAGATCACCCTTGCAACCCAAGGGGACTGATGTAGGATTCACATTGAATCTGAACCAGTATAAAATCCTGATGCCTTTATTTCCTACTCTTCATTTCTGCATTATTATTATTCTGTTCTTATCTCTAGTCGACTAATTGGTAAACTAGTCAACTACTTAGAATACTGAATATAAAAATTGTCAATTCACCCCCTCTCTTGTACTTTCATTAACATGTAGTAGTCAGAGGTGGATCCAGGATGGGTGCACTATTAAGAAGAGGTGGATCCAGAATATAAATTTTACGGGTTCAACCTTTAATTCTTACGATTGCGTACCCATTGCACTTTTGGAATTATAAGTTCAATTTTTTTAAAATGATAATTTTCTTACATCTATATCTATTTTCCATGTTGAAAATATTTAGATCAGTTGAACTCATTGACTATATGCTACATCATATACTGCTACTAATTTTAATATACACATTTTGTTTAATCATATAAGATTTTACAGCGACAAAAGAAGAATAGGAATTTCAATGTGTGAAAATGTTGAAAGAATAAACCAAACAAAAAAAGAAATAAAAAGAAAAATTACTTAATTAATACGCAAAAAATAACACCCAACACACACATCTCCCATGGGCGTCTACTTTTAGAAGAAAAAAAAGGAAAAAACAACAAGATTGACATAAGATTTGAACTCACAACCTCAACTCGAAAGGTACAGTCAATAATCATCACATCATATAATACTTTAAGCATAGGTGTACACATATATATATTTAAATATTTTTTAAAAATATAACATTACTATACATAATTTAGAAGTCTCGAGTGCTTGCGCTACTACAATTCAAATATTAGGGAATCAGGCGGGGCCAGCAAATACAAAAGAGTGATGAGTAGTCAAGAGAAAGAGGAAAAGAAAGAAAAAAAGGTAGCCGTTAATGTGAGTATAAACCAAGCCAGTTTTTTTTTGGGAAAAGGGAATTGTGACGAGTATTGCTGCTGCTGTTTGAGAACTGATGGTCCATACTCCATACAGAAAACAAGTCGGAATTTACGGAAAAGAGCTGCAGGTTTGACTAGTAGTGTAGTTCTCTATCGTGTCTTGGTCAATTGGTTTTTTGGTCCTTTATAAATTTATTTTTAGTTTTATGACTCTATCTTTTTTTTTACACATGAGAGATTTACTTTTACACATAAAATTTTTTTCATTTACATATAAGAGATCTAAAAATGACATTTTCTTAAATTCGACATTATAAAAGGCCAAGAAAACCTAAAACCCCTCGTGTGATAATAATTCATTTTTAAGGATATAGTACATACTTTACAAATAATCACAGGAGTACCTTTTTTGAAAACAACCCCTTCGCTTGAAAATATGATAACTATGGAGTACTATTAAAGGATTCAAAAAACAATTATTAGCATAACTAATTAATTTATCCGCGTTTTGTGAGATCATAAGACATATTAGTAAATTTATTTTAATATATATACACACATGTATGTGCGTGCACAAAAATTAATTATATAAATTAATTAAGTTACAAATATAAATATCTTTTTAATGAAATATGGAATTCATATTGATAATCCAATATAATATTTTCTTAATCAATTAATTCTTTGATTTTCTTTAAATGAAAATAAGTTATTACTGTGTAATTCCCTCCCATTCTTTATCGTCCTCCTTTTTTTGGGTAAGAGATTTATATTGAAGTTAATAACTTTTCTTCCATGCAAGTGCTTATATAAATCGATTTCAATACCTAATGTCATGACCCGTCATATCATCATGCCATGTAGGTGCCATTTGGCATATATTAATACCATGTGGAAATTTACATAGGAGGAATACTAGCATTTATGAGAAGATTCTAGAGAAGTATGGACATTTCCTTAGGAATACCCTAGATCCCTATGGATTTGTTAGGAAAGTCCTTGGAATCTTCTAAATTTTAGAGAGTTTCAGAGAAAGCCCTTATCTTGTAAATATTAAGGACTTGTGTAACAATTTATATTTATATACTAGCCCCTAGGAGACTAGTATGTAAAGGGGGCCATTCGTTTGTAATTCACCAACCAAGAAAACAATTTAAGTTCTCTCTAATACAAAGCTCATTTAACAATTTTCTTGTGTGCTTTCTACCATTCTCTTTGCGATCTTGAGTGTAGTAAGGATGACTTGTCATACCAAGAACGTGAGCAAGTTGTGCAAGATCGTGAGCGAGTTGTCAAGTGCCGCACGTGTACTTAGTTAACAACTAAGGGCATGACAACGTGGTATCGGAGCAAAGGTTGCAACCAAGGGAATGGCAAACGACAGAGAAATTAACGTTGCCAACACCCAAGCCAATGTCATCCAAGATGTTTCTGGCAAGAGTGGTCATGACAAAAAGAGGAATTCCACCAACAAGAGCCAGGAGGTACCACCCGAGGTTATGTCAAACGAAGGGTTTACATCCCAAGAACCATCTGCCATTAAGGCGAGCGAGGATGAAGTGGAGGTCCTGCTCGAGGACATCTCGCTTGGTAAAGAGTGTGTGATGAAGATGAACACGGGGATGGACGCCGTGGAGATCTCTGGCCAACGCTTGGGGGTGGAAGGAACCCTTAGCGTTCTTGAGGGGTACACTCTTGAAGAGATTGAGAGTATCAGAAATGACTTGGAGGGACGTACACAGACCGAGATGGAACTAAGGCAAACCATCATTGCCTTAGAGTGCAGACTCATGGAAGCTTTAAGTACTATTGATGCTATGGAAGAAAAGATAAAGTCACTCGAAGAGCATGTTAGTGTTGGCGTGACCGAGGCAGCCATCAATGTTGTGGTGACGAGGGAGGCCAAGATCGAGGCTCCCAAACCCCCTGTGTTCAAAGGTGTTCGTGATGCACAAGATGTGGAGAATTTCCTTTTCCACTTGGAGAATTACTTCGGGCACGGCAAAGTGAAAGATGACGAGGCCAAGATCAACACTGTTGTGTTGTACCTCTCAGAGATTGCCGTGTTGTGGTGGCATCAAAAATGTGTTGACATGAAGAAGGGGCGATGCAAGATTGAGACGTGGGAGTAGTTTAATAAGGAGTTGAAGAAGCAATTATACCCGGTGAATGTGGTGTATGAGGCTAGGCGGAAGCTAAGGGAGCTCCGACAGACGGCCACAATTCGGGAGTATGTACGTGAGTTCACTACCTTAATGCTGCAAATCCCATCATTATCCGAGGAAGATTTACTCTTCTACTTCATGGATGGGTTACAAAATTGGGCAGCGCGGGAGTTAAGAAGACATCAAGTAGCCAACGTGGATGAGGCCATAGCGGTAGCCGAGTCGCTCATTGACTTCAAGATGGAACCTGCCAAGTTCAAAGAAGGCAACGCCGAGAGAGGTGGGGGAGATCATGACAAGGACAACAAGAAAGGCATAACCGAGGTATATAAGGGAAATGGCAAGGGGCCAGAAGACGGTAGCAAGTACGTGCCTAAGGGAGGGTGCTACTTCTGTAAATGATCACATCGGGCAAGTGAATGCCTAGATTTGGGGAGGCTTGTAGCAATGATTGGGAACTTTGCTCAAGCACATAAGGGTGACACATGAGGAACCGCTTGTATTGGGGGATGCGCTTGGAATCTAATCCGAAAGTAGGGGATTCCGAAGCCTATCTTGGCACCATGCAAATGAAGTATTGTGGCAGCAAGAAAAGTTGGGCGGACATAGTTGAAGAGGATAGCGAGTTACAAAGTGATGGCACACTATCAGACTTGGACGATGCACCAATAAGAGGGGTCAAGTTTTCTAGCAAGGTTGTGACCACGGAGGGCAGCCAAATAAAGAGTGGAAGCAT